TATTTTGACGAGCCAAAGAACGACAACCCCAGCAATTGAAAACATAAAAGGACAAGCGAAAGACGGGGCCTCAGATGGCCCGTTGTTCCTTGATAATATGTAGCTCGTAGTAGCTCCTATTAGAGTGACAAATATTTGAGTTTCGGTATGTTCTCTTTGAGTTGTAACTGTTCAGCGGATATTGCGGTCGCTGTAGATATTTTGTCTTTGACTTTTTTCGTTCAAAATTGTTCTGTCAAAGTCAACTTAACTTTGTTTTGTAAAAACTAAAAAAGGAACTTCCTGAAATATTGTTTAAAGAATATAGAATGAAAGAAGAAATATTGATAATAAGGTTTAGAATATTAGTAATACCTGGTGGTATAATATAATTAGTTTTAACTTAAAAACTTAAAGGAAAACTTTTGCAAACTGACAAGTGTACGACAGGTGTTAAAGTCTAATCAGACAATTTCGTTAACCGTTTGTAAACATCCATTCAATGCTTCTCTCAAACTTGATTTATTATGCATCATCCTCTGGTTTGTAAAACGTCATTTGAATAGTAAAAATTAGTAATTAATTGTTTATTTATTACTTATCAAGTATAAGTAAAAATTGTATACTTATTATTTATTTAGTATTGTCTATTAAGTATCCTTATGATTATATTACTCTAACTACGGTTGTTTTGTGTAAAACTTAGAGGTCGCTTGTTAAATGATATTGGAATAATAATGTAGAAAAAATGCAATATTTTGACTGTAAATAAAGGTAGCATAAATAGCAAAAATTTAATTGCGAATAAATTACGAGAATGAACTAGCTTTAACCCATACTGTTATCTGTACAAAGAACATGGACTTTCCCTTGGAAATATTGGTATATTCTTAGCCAGAGGATTAGCGTTGGTACCACGTCGCGACGTTAAGGGACGCCCGGCGCCGAGGCTCAATAGGACGAGAACCGATCAAACTGGGTGGGTTAGGTGGTTCATAGCACAAGTGCATCCCATAAATCAACCCTATTGTAGGGCGCTTCTGAATAGCGACAATCCAATTCAATGGTCACAGTAATATGATATTTTGCAGGTTTTATGTATATTGGCGACACAAAAATAACAAAAAAGAAAGTCAACTGAACTTAAATCAGAATAAATGACTTAGCCAGTTTAACAATACGATTTTACTGAGTAACACGAAACAATATATTTTAAAGCAACTACGTTAGAATAACTATTAAATTAGATCATATTATAGTACAGAGTATATAGTAAAGAAAGTAAAAAAAATGTAAAAATATGAAAATAAATACTACATACTTTCCCAAACAACGGTATACCGAGGATACTCCAGTAGTGAGTGACGAACGCTGAGTTACACATGGTTTGCATGGCACTCTGGCTTCGTTTTTCCTTCTAACAAAGGTTTTAACTTGGTGAGGGTGATACTTCAGCCAGATTGACTTTTTTTTCAACTTACCTTACGTAATTACGATTTCAACCGATATTACTCATTCTGACAATATTTCAGCGCTAAGTACTTGATTATATCTTGCATATCTAGATCTGGTAAATTACTACCCCTTTATTTTAAACATAACATAAAAAAACATAACAGATATTTATAATTTTCCAGTTGGTTTAATGCTAATTTGATGAGCGTTAAACTTGGATGGCAAGTATTCATCATCTTTGGATCCACAGTCCTTTGTGTTTACTGGCCTGCTCTAAGAGTGGTCGCCATGCAGTTAGGATTCTGACGACCTGTTACCATATTCTGATTTTTAATGTTCCTAAGTCAGTCTCAAGTCCATCTATCTACCTAATTCTCGCTCGGTCTCTGCTTCTTCTTCCTACAGGTATTCCAGTACTTAGCTTTTTAGCAATTGTGTTGTATGGCATTCGTATAATGTGTCCAGCCCATCTAGTCGCTGTGTTTTAATGAATGCTACGACGTCTGGTTCATTAAAGAGTTGATATAATTCGAAGTTATATTTTTTGCGCCACTGCCCTTGGTCGTTTATAGCTCCAAATATTTTGCGATGTATTTAAAGCACAAATATTCCCAAAAGTCTTTCATCTTTCTGAGTTAGAGTCCATGTTTCTGTCCTATATGAGAAAAATGGCCTAAGCAGTGTTTTGTATATAATAATTTTGTCGTCGCCACAATTCTTGTAGAGCTCACTGCAAATTTGATCAGTTCCTTGTGGTGGTGATTATTTTTAAGCTTTTTAATGGCTTCGGCAACCTCGTCAATGGTAGATTGTCTTTCGTTTGCGTTGAATAGATTTTAATCATTTCGATCTTCTTCTTCTTCTTCTACGGCACTACAGCCCAAAATGAGCCTTGGCCTCCTTTATTTTTTGCCTCCACCCTTGTCTGTCTTTGGCTACTCTTCTCCATACACGGACTCCTAAAAGTGCTTGTGCGTCGCTGCTTACTGTGTCTTCCCAGCGCTTTCTTGGCTTTCCAACTGGTCTCTTTCCCTGCATTCTGGCGTTCAGTGCTCGTTTTGGTAGCCTATCCTCTCCCATTCGTATCACATGTCCGGCCCATTGCAATCTTTGTATTCTAATGAAGTTTGACAGGGGTGTTTCCTTATACAGTTGATAGAGCTCGTTGTTATATCGAATTCTGAAGATTCCGTTTTCCCTCACAGGTCCTAGTATTCTCCTCAGTACTTTTCTTTCGAATGTGTCGAGTTTGTTTTTGTATGTTTCTTTCAGGACCCATGCTTCGCTGCCATAACATGCTATTGGCCGAATTAAAGTTTTATATATTCTCATCTTTGTATTTCGGTGGACACTTTTAGACCGAAATATATGGGAGAGGGCAAAATAAGCTTTGTTTGCCTGCGTTATCCTTTTTCGTATTTCTCCATCCTCTGCTCCATCGGCATATATTTCTACTCCCAGGTATGTAAACTTTCCAACCGTTTCAATGTCATCTTCATGTATAATGTTTTGTGGGATTATATTTCTTCTCGTCTGTACCATTATTTTTGTTTTTTCTGTGTTAATTTCCAGACTTAGCCTTTTCGTTTGTGTTTTTAACTCTGCGTATGCTTCCTGTGCTCCTGTTGATGTTCTACTCATAATATTAATATCATCGGCGTAGGCAGCCAGTTGAACCGTTTTATTGGTCAGTAGGTTTTCTCGTCCAGTTTGCATTTGCCTGACCGCATACTCCAGTGCCAGGTTAAACAATGTTGGTGCCAGCCCATCTCCCTGCTTTAGTCCCTGCGAGATTTTGAAAAAGTCTGTCCGGTTGTTTTGTATTCGTACACATGCCTGAGTTTCATCCATTGTGGCTTTAATGAGTCTAATTAGCTTATGTGGTATTGCTAATTCTGCCAATATATAGTATAGTCTGTCCCTTTTGACTGAATCCTATGCCTGTTTGAAGTCTACAAACACGTTGTGAACATCAATGTCGTGTTTCCACGATTTGCTCAAGACCTGCTTGACTGTAAATATTTGATCCATTGTCGATCTTCCCGTCTGAAGCCCGTCTGATATTCTCCAATAATATTTTCTGCTAGTGGTTGGAGTCGCTGGTTTATAATATACGTGAGGACTTTATACGCTGTACATAGTAGAGAGACTCCACGGTAGTTTTTGCATTGGAGTTTGTCTCCTTTTTTATAGATTGGGCATACTATACTTTTCTTCCATTCGTCGGGTATTTTCTCTTCTTGCCATATTTCGATCTGCTAATATGGTATTTGCTTCTTCGATATGATGGCCATTAAATTTTACGTCAAAAAATTCAACCCATCTGTTCAAGATTGAGGCCGTATTATTTAGGACATTTCGCCTTCCACCCTTACAGCTTCCTCTTCTTGACTTAAACCCTTTTCTCAGCTTGTTTAGATTTCCTTAGAACTTTTGAGTTTCGTTTTGATTTCTTAGCCCTTTTATGCTTTCTAACTGCTTTTCCTCAAACTGAGTCTATTTTCTTTTATGTAATCTTTTTTCTTGTCTTCTTAGGGTCCGATATTCCTCCTTTGCTCTTCACGTGCGTCATGCTTGATTTTTCTGTAGGTATACTCTATTATTGTTATCTGCCGCTTCTCGGCACTCCTTGCCAAACTATTTCTTTTTTTTTTACTGGTTTGGGATTCGCCAATATTTGTGTTGCCTTCTTAGTTAGTATGTTTCTACATTTTAGCCAAAATTCCTCCACATTTTACGGTCTTAAGGCGCATATGGTACACATTAATTTTGTCTTGTTTTATATGATTATTCTTCTTTAGGTTTGATATTCTTCCTGATTTTTGCCATTACAATAAAGTGGTATCTATCTATGTTTTGACCTCGGTAGCTTCTGACGTCCATGAGATTGGAAGAATAACTTGCCTATGTCAAGATGTAATTTACTTGTCTAACGGTTTCGTTATCAGGGGATTTCCATGTTGCTTTGTGTATCATTTTATGGGGAAATATTGTTCCTCCTACTCCGATATTTTTGGTACTTGCAAAGTTTATTTGTCTAAACCCGTTATCGTTTGACTATTCATAAAAGCTCTAACGTCGTATAGTTGGTTTGATAAATTGCTTTTAAGACATATATAACATATTCTGTTGTTTATTGGTTTAAAGTTAAGAACTAAAGTTGTGCTTTTTTAATGACTGGAAATGATTGGGGAGTATTAATATGAAATCACTCGAGGGACGTAGGGTGGTCAATTTCTTGATTTGCTGTACTTTTTAGTGTATATCTAGAAAAATAATTGTAATTAAAGTAAGAGTTCATGGAATCACATCAAAATTTTTATGTAATAAATATATATATATATATATATATATATATATATATATATATATATATATATACCTGCAATTGCCAAGTACACTTATACTTACTCATACAATACACTTTTATTTAGATATCATACTCTCTGCGTGAAAGCATAATTATATTACCTCAAATTGATTTTTATTATATTTCACTTTTTTTATTTGATTTGATTCAATGTCTTATTTTACTAATTTTTACTAATGAACTGTTTTAATTTTAGATAATCTAAAACCAAAGAAACCTGTCGACTTGACAATTTTGAAAAAGGAACAAGAAGCATTTGATACTGTAGATGATGATGACGATGAAGAGTCCGAAGAGGAAATCGATAAAGATGACCTCGAAGATCTTGCTGACGAAACTGAATTGTCTGATGATCCAACCATTGATGACGAAGATGATGACGACGACGATGATATTTATGATGAAGATATTGATTGGGATACTACTCCTTCCAGTACTACCGCTGGATATAAATCTACAATACCTTCAACCACTCCAAGTACTACCACCACTGAGAGAACTACTACTATTGCTACTCCTGATCCATACTTTACTCATTTTGATCCAAGGAATGAACATGAAAGCTACAAACAAGCACAAGTAGGTCTACTTTGGCTTAGTTTATATATATATATATATATATATATATATATATATATATATATATATATATATATATATATTATATATATATATATATATCTGGACCTCAGAGCCAAACGGTATTAAGTCCTGTATTTTAAATTTTACAGGAGAGCAATTTGAAGATTTTGAAAAATGGTATTTTTCGAACGAATTCCTATTGTAAATAGGAGTACACGGATTATTATTTTCCCATTTATGTTTTTTAAAGTTAAACAAAGCTGATAATAACTAACCTCTTACTTTAATTTATTTAAATAATTTTAAATTAATATTGAGGACTTAATACTCTTTGGTTCTAATAATGGACTTAATATCTTGTGACTTAATACCATATTTTGTTACTTAATACTGTTTGGCTCGTACTAATCTGTAGATACGATGGACTAGATATTATTATTAATTAAGAAACTTACAGTAGAACAATGCAAAGTACAAACAGCATTATATCAATTCCAATTAAATAATAAAACGCAAAAAGACACCAAAAATATTTATTTTTTAAAATAAATAAAATCAGACCTAAATGTTACAAAGGAATAATTATAACTAACTTAAAACAGAAAATTCATAACAAATATCATTGTAATTTTTAGTCGTCCTCCTTGAGGTCACCATGTGGAAGATTTTTAAAGTATTCATGGAATCTTTTAGGCACCCATTGTAATAAGTTCTGCAAGTCATTATATTTTTTAGTCGAAATGGGCTTAAGTGTGTCTCTTATTGGTTTCAAAATTAAATTGGCATGGAAAACAACTTCCTTAGAATTATCATTACATTTTCCTTTGCGTGGTAGTCTTTTGGCTGCTCTATTGAAATCAACTTGTTCAAAATTCTCTTGATTAAAATTTGTTTTAAAATGTAAAACTCCAGGTGTTTCTGCTAAAAACTTTATATGAACAACTTTAGATATTAAAAAGTTTTGATTAGTTATCGTTTTTTTTGTTATTTTGAAAATAAGATCTGGATTCTTCAGATAACTGAGTAAAGTTCTTAAAGTCCATGGTTTCCATTTCCGCTACCTCCAATTTATTGTCACAAAGTCTGAAAAGCTGTTGCCAATCCCACGGAGTTATTAACGAAAATTGACTGGAAGCCTTCTTCTGTCTTTCTATTCGTGCATGAATTGTATCCACCTCCATGTGAGTATGTCCTCTTAAAAGGTACTTATGCTCAATGCATTTTATGGACCGTTTCAGCTTAAGAATCGAAAGATAGCACATAATCATCTGAATATTTCTATTTTGTGATGGACAGTTGTCACTCCAGATAACAATCCTTTCTACTGATTCTTTTACATTTAAATTAATGTATTTTAGAAGGCATGAAGCCATTTCATTTCCACCACGTCCGGCTATAGATTCATCCCAGGTGAAACAATATCCTAATTTCTCTATTGCATCATATACAGTATAATTGAAAGTCCATAGCTTTAGAGAATAGAAGCTCTGAGCATTCGTTAGTAGAGGAGTGGGTAAACATTTTTGTAAATCCACCGAAAGTATTTTGGTGTTCGCTTCGGTTTTAAAAGTCTCTTTATCCTGTCGCTTTAATTTGTACCGATGATTTGCATCAAAAAGATGAGAGTCATAGTTAGTTTGTAATTCAAGGCGTTCTTCCAAGGATACAGAATCTTTGAGTTTGATAACATACCCATCACATGTGTCACATGTATCATTTTCTGGCTCTTTGAAGGCTAAATTAAATTCAGAATTGAAAATTTCATTATATAACCACTGCTTGGGAATATGTTCTTTAGGAAGTTGACGTTCTACACAATCCTCATAGAAGCACCGATACATTATAGAAATATTGAGATGGCTCCCTAAATACTTCCTCTGGGATTTATTCCTGGAGTAATGTGACTCTATACACGGGAACTTCTGTATGTGCTCCCTGATAATGTTTCTTATGTTCGCGGATATTTTATTAAAGGGTTCATGTTTACCCCTTTGATCAGGTATTACAATTCCCCCAAGTTGTCTTTTCGTTAATGCGTTACGTACAGTAGTTTGTGAAATATTTAAAATAGTTAAAAAATACTTCAACGACGTTATTCTTTTTCCAGCACGAGATCCCGTTCTAGCACGTACACGCTCAACTGGAACTTCTTCGATACAACTAGCTATAAATTGTCTTTTTTGGTCAAGTTCGATGGTACCATTCCAAAATTGTGAGTGAATTAGAGCACGACTCTCAACTGATATATTCTGTTTGCACTGCTTTCTACATTCATCACGACAAGGTGGTCTCATTTTATTTTTTCCAATAAGCTTATTGGTGGCTGACAGATATTCTTCACCAGCAGCTTTCTTCTGCTTTCTAATGTTTTTCTTCCAATTGGTAGTATTTCTTTTTCTTTTTTTTCCTTTAGTGTCTCGTATTTCTACTTCTTCCTCTTATTCTTCTAGTTCATTTGTATCACTGCTTTGATTAGGTAGATAAGATGGATCTTCAGCTTCAGTATAGACTTCTTTATGTAACACACTTGCACCTACTTCAGCTGCTCTATAGTAAGGTCTATCGTCATCATGTTGAACAATAATTTTTGAAGATGTTTCGAATTCGTTATTTTTATGCTTTTCACTGTTTTGAACAAAATGTTCTAGTGAATTTTCTGGTAGGTAGTTCACACCCGTCTATATTTTCTCTCAGAATTTCTTCGTTATTGGAAGAAGGCACATTATTTTTACTAAAAAATATGGTATTGTACACATCATTATTCAAAGCAATAATATCCCCTGTAGCATTGTCACATCCAGTTGCAAAGAACTTTCAAATTTTCATGAGGGATGTCCTTCACGCTATTAGTGGTTGGATATATTTCCATAACGATCTCAGCTTCTTCGGCGTTAGCAGCAACAGCAACAAAAGCTAAAATTGAAAGAATAATAAAATTTGTTTTGATACACACATTTCATGTAATTTAATTACCGTTCTCCTCGGGCAAATGTGAGGTTATAACAGGTTTTTCAGATATTTCGTTGCACTGGGCTTGTGCTAGTGTAATTTGTAATATTTTTTTGGCCTCTCGATGTCATCATATTGTCCATATACACTTATTAAATATTAAAACAGCGCCTTTATCACGTTTTTTCTGTTAACTGAACGAACAAAATAATGTGACTTAATATTCTGACAACTGATGTACACTAAAACAACACAGTATTAAGTCCAGTTAACTAACCTCACATCTGGACTTAATACCTACATATTGGATATCATTTAGGGCCAAACAGTATCGAAAACCTTTAATACTGTTTGGTTCTATTTAATAGAGGACTTAACATATATAATCTACACCTATCTCGAAAACGAAAAGAAATTGGACTTAATACGCATTGCCATTGGAATGGGGCGGAAAAAATACTACAGGAACAATAATAACCTAAAAATAGGAAAAAAGTGGACTTAATACTGTTTGGCTCTGAGGTCCAGATATATATATATATTCGTATTTTTAATGGAAATCGTATCATTGTCATCAATGATATAACGAAATGTTATAGGAAACTTTAATTCTAGTGGTGGTATAACGATGTTAAAATATAAATATGCAATCTTTGAATATTTTTAATTAATAATAGTTCTTGCCAATAATAGTTCAAATATCTAGTAATGCTGCCTGGGCTGATTGCCTTTCTCAAGTCACACTTAAGAAAGGCATACAGGTGTTTCCTATTTGTGTTTATTTTTGGGTTATATCTGCATTAACGGTTCTATTTTTTGCACAAGACAGTTAACGATAATGTAAAAAATACTGCTTAACTCATCATCATCATCACTGGCTCGACAACCCTTTTTGGGTCTTGGCCTATTCAAGGATTCTTCTCCATTCTGACCGGTTTCGTGCTTTTTTTTCCAATTTTTAATTTTTAATGTTGTTATATCATTTTCTATTTGTTCTACGTATCTCAGCTTCGGTCTTCCTCTTGTTCTTTTTCCTACTGGCACTTGTTTGAATATTTTGTTTGGTATTTCGCCTTCTTCCATTCTTTCCACATGTCCAATCCAACGTAGCCTTCCTATTTTAATGAATGTTATGATATCCGGATCCTGGTATATGTTGTATAGTTCAAAGTTATACCTTCTCCGCCAAATCCCGTTTTCTTTTGTGCCCTTATATATGTGTCGCAAGATTTTTCTTTCAAAGGTGGCTAATAACGTTTCCTCCCGTTTAGAGAGTGTCCAGGTTTCTGAACCGTATGTGAGTACCGGTCTTATATGCTTAACTAAGACAGTGAAATATTGATGTAATATTCATCATCAGTTGCCGCTACAGCCCTTCGGGAACCTCAAAACATTCTTCCATCATTCCTTGTTGAGTGTCTATCTTCTCCATCCACTTACTTCATTAAATTGTTCTTCACATCATCCAGATATCTGACTTTAGGTCGCCCCCTTCTTCTTCTTTTGACAGGCCTATTTAGCATACAAATCCTACAAATGCAAACAAATACCGAAACTATGTTAAAGATCATGCTAAAAACTGGCTAAAATTCTTCACCAACCAGTAGAAGATGGCCAGAAAAATATGTAGGAAATTTATAGTAAACGATTGTTGGATGTCACCTGCTACACACTCTTCTATTTACTAATTACTCTGTAATATATTATTTGAATCGAGTGCAAATTACATTATTAAACAATTAATAAACGTTTAATCTCATAATTGCTTATAAAATGAACCTTCTTACTGGAATATAAAGTTTTATTTCAATATTTTGATGGACACGTGTAGCATACCTGTTAGTTCGAAATTCCTTATAAAGCAGTTGCAATTAACAAGCGAATGTCTGAATATTCAGTTCAAGATATCTTCTTATGAATAAATTACTCGAGAACTATCTACAAATATGGAGAAACGTAGATTAATTAGATATTGCACTTAGAATATAGATAACTAAGAACTGTCCAATTACTGGTGATTGCATGACACGTAATACTTTATAATTACATGCATTCATAAGGAGTAGTCTTCTTACTTTTAAGAGGGACTTGAAGTATTTGGAAAAATACTCCTACATAAACTATCCAATAATTGAGATTTCACATATCCAATAATTATGTGTTCTTAAAAAGTGTTTTATCAAATAAATCGTTTTTTTTTTCAAATCAAAATGTACTATTTTTCATTTTTCTTTAAGCACTTTGTGACTTAAATTATTAGTCAATCATAGTCATGGTCCATCCAATTGGTCCACTACACAATTTTCTGCAGTCTTGTTTTAGTATTTTCAGGTAAACTTTAGTCATATATCATAAACATTGGCTTAAAATTGGTGAAATTTATAACAAGGGAAGCAATTTATAAAAATAATGTAAAAACTCACCCATTTATAATGTAATTCAATTCTTCTATCATTTTTCGCACTCATCTATAACTTCATTTTAAAAAACTTGGATATTGTGACAATTCTTTAACCATATTATTTTTAATTGGTAAAGGGGAAACATTAGACAGTCGAACTTGTCCTGTCAAGTATATTAAGTAACTCTTTATTCGTTTTAGTCTTGAAAAACTACGTTCTACAGAGGTACTAGTAGCTGGAATGGCCAATACTAACTCACATAATTCCACTACCTCCTAATAGTTATGCTTTATCAAAAGAATTTGTTTTAAAAACGTTAGTAACTCACTGGCATTATTTTTTCTGTCAATGTCCTCAGTTTCATGTAAAGCTGTTAACTTCGAACGCAATGAAATCAAATTCAAATATTGTCCATAAAGACGTATCAAAGATTTTATTTGTTTTTTAGGAAAATATGTGTTTTTAAATGCAATAAAATTGCACAGCTCAAGAAAGTCTAGGTCATCAAAATTCTTAACCCTATTTTCCATTTGTTGGTATATTTGGTCTAAAATCTAATAATATAGTCGGCGGTAGCACGATTTAACATCTCCAACATTATCAGTGCGTATGCGTTACCTTTTAGGCTCAAAACTTCTTGCCATCATATCATCATCCAGCATTTTCTAAAGTCATCTCTCTTTTTGTTAATAACATCATTTAATTAATTAATTTTGTATACAGTAGCCAATATCGTTTATCTTGCATTGTAATACATTAAATAAATTATCTAAGAATGGAAATTTTTCAGAAAAAAAGCAAGAAAATTAAACTAATTTTTTAAACTATTCAAAAATTCGCTGGAACTATTTATATTTTCTGTATCCCACTTTTCACCATGCTCCAAAACACTTCAAAATAATTAAATTAAAGAATCGCGGTGTTCTAAGACTGTTAATACTAGTCTGCCGTTGTAATTCCATCACGTCACTGTAACTTTTGGTAGTCTTCGTTTTACAATTGTATCTAAAGCTTGAGTTCGTTTAGAGGATTTAGAAAAGAAAGCAGCCATTTCACTTAAAGTTGCAAAAAAAAATTGCATTCTTTGATCTGCATTACCGATTAGCATAAAACGAATTTTGGTTTGTGGGCAAAACAGTGTATAAATATCGCACTAGGACATGTTTCTCGCACTTTCAATTGTTGACCCTCCAAACGCCCAACCATAACCGCAGCGCCGTCATAACTTTGGACAATTAGCTTGTCATTACCAAAAATTTCACAAACAATTTTATATAATCCGTCTGCCGTTCTATCTTCTGATACATTTATAAAACCTAAAAATATTTCCTTTATAATTCTGTCTGTACTAACAAATCGTACTATTGCAAAGAGCTGGCTCAAATTGGTAACATCAGATCTAAAATAATTGCAAGGAATCGTGTTTTTTTTTAATTTCATCAATTATTTTGTTTGAAACTACTGTCGAAATTGTAAACGTCAAATCATTCTGAATTCGATTTGAGGTGTCTTGAAGCACACTGGACTGTTCTAAATGAGTTTTTAAACAAGAACCGTACTTAGAAATTAGTAAAACAAGATCCATGACATTGCTCTTATTTGCTGATATACTGGTTTTGTCGTGACCTCTGAACAAAAGTTCATGGAAACATAAAAACACATAGTGTCAATAAGTCTTTTCAGCACGTCTCTATTTTTATCTACTAATACATTATGTTTTTGAATGAATTATCGAAAGTGTCCTTTTGTTGTCCTTTTTTATGTCTATTTTTTCCAAAAAGTTTCTTTGATGGTGACTTGCAAGTGAGCTTTAGACAGAACATGTCGTTTCACTACGTATGTTTACCCTATTCGTGCCATGTAAATATAATATAGTACCTTTATTAATTATGTTCAATTTTTCACCAAAATTTTAAAGCGTTTCTCTAATAACAAACATATTATACATTTACGCACTACAGCTGATTCCACAAAATCAGTCGACGAAGACGACATTGTGAAACGATGTAGTAAATCTCCAAATTTAAATTCGCCAAAACTCACTAATCAATTGCCACAGTTGCTTATAAAGCGACAAATACGGTCAATACGGAAACTTAGGAAAGCGATGCTTCCATTGCTTTCATACACTGCACTCTCCTGATATCGAAGATGATACACAATATATATATATATATGTCTAGAATTCTATTTAATTTTACCATTAATATATGTCGTTTATATATTTAAATTAATTTTATTATACCCAGGTATACCATCTCTCTTACCAAGTAAAAAAAACGTGTATTTTGATATTTGAAAGTACAAATGTGAATACCTTAGATACTGTATAAATATTATCATTCTGTAAGTTTTGTCATTTTAAAGAATCAGATCTTACTCAGAAATATTGGATTAAAAACCATCTCCGCCTTTGCGCACTGCTTTACAGAACAATCCTATTTTTCAAATAATTTGACCCACATACGGTGGAAACAACAAAATCAGCAACAATATTCTTAGATCTGTTTTGAACCGGTACAGTGATGCCACAGTTATATACACAGATGCATCAAAATCGATAGAAGGGACTAGCTATGCTTATTTTTTACCCTCAGGAGGTTTCGAATTCAAGTACAAACTTTCCAATGAGTTTACAATTTTCTCGAGGGAATCATTGGCCATAGTCGAAGCGGTGAAATATGTTAAAAACTAAAAAAAAAACGGTAATTATTTTAGACTGCGTTTTAGTTCTACAGAACATAAAAATACTTTTTTACCCAAAACATTTAGTAATCCTTATATATTTTTAATAAATGATCAGCTAGAGGATTTAGCATCAATAGCAGACTCTTGCATCAATATAAACTTTATTTGGGTTTATATACCAATATTATGAATACGAATAGCTAAAACCAGTGTAACCTCAGGCACTTTATTGTCATATTCTTTATGTGTATCAGATGCCATTATGTTTAAAAAAAGAACCATCCATGGACATGAAAAGATCAATGGAATCTTGACGGCGGCGGCTACAAGATATACCACTTTACAATCAGTTATTCCACAAACTACTTGGCTTAAGACTTTTAAGAATTCACGTATATAACTAGTATATAAGTGTATATTCAAGTATATAACTACCATAAAAACTGGAAGATCTGGTATCCGGTAAACTGGATGATCTTGCTCGTATCTTTTTTGAATGTCCTAAATTTTAACAGCATTCAACTCGCTATAAAAATTGAATCAAATGTAATATGCACCATTCAATGGTCAGTCTCTGCTGGCTACAGGTTCACCCAACAAATATAATCGTTTATCACAAATATGATCGGTTTATGGTCGTGTGGAAGTTTAGACAACTTCTACAGAGAGAAAGAATTCATAGCATTATAAGAAAGGTAACATCGACAGAAAATAATTTAAGGCAACCTCATGACAATGCAAAAGTCAGAATGACGACCTATTAACAACAAGGAAAGATGTATTGAATAGATGGATGGAACTTTAACCAGGCACTTAATATAGAGGAAGAAGAAGAAAACCTTGAAGACGTAAGAGATGACGTAGGTGGAACAGACGAAAGGGAAGAGGAACCATCAACGATTCCTGAAGTTAAAGATGCAGTTAAAAAACTAGCCAGAAATAAATCACACAGAATAGATAATCTCCCAGCTGAACTATATAAAGCAGGTGGCCATGATACCGTAATGGTATTCTAGCAACTTATAAAAGAAATGTGCACACAGAAATCCTTCCACATTGATTAGATTATTGGAATAATTTGCACCATATACAAAAAAGGAGATATCTTTAAATGCTGTAACCACAGAGGAATTACGCTTCTAAATACAGCGTATAAAATATTTTCCACAGTACTATGTCACCGTATGGCACCATGTGCAGAATAGATAGTAGGAAAATACCAGGCTGGTTTCAGAGGTGGCAAATCAACAATTTATCAGACTGCAACCCTGAAACAAATTTTGTAAAAGGCACTGGAATATGGCATTGATTCTCATCACACATTTATAGACTACGAAAGAGCCTACGACTGTGAATAGAAGAGACATGTTCAAAGGAATGAAAGAGCGTGAACAAAATTAAGTCTTGAAAAAGTTTAATGTAGAGTACGAATTCATTGGGAACTGTCTGAACCTTTTAAAATATATAAATTAGCATTGAATAACCTATACTTATGATCAAACAATTTTATGAAAAATCTCCCAGAACCAAAAAAAAAATATTCACAGAGGGAAACCGTGTCAGATTCGGCCTAATGAAGCAATACTTTGCTGATGCTATTTCCCTGTTAGTATGATAGTATGATATTGTTATCTTTATTTAAATCTTCCATTCCTCTTCTATTGTTCTGTTTTTTCTATTGCTCTGTTTTGGTCGAATTTAATGTGGAAGTCTGTTTACTGTTAAAACGTTTACCTGCATTTTTATGTATATTAGCAAACTGAATTGAAACCTTGAACAGAAACTACATTTTATTTATTTTATAGGAACGACTTGAAGAAACCCACCGTGAAAAAGTTACCAGGGTAATGAAGGACTGGTCAGATCTAGAAGAAAGATACCAAGATATGCGACAGACCGATCCAAGAGGTGCTGACGAATTCAAACAGAGAATGACCCAAAGATTCCAACAGACTGTGCAAGCTCTCGAAGAAGAAGGTGATGCTGAGAAGCACCAATTGGCAGCCATGCATCAGCAAAGAGTATTAGCTCATATCAACCAAAGAAAGAAGGAGGCTATGTCATGTTATACCCAAGCTTTGAATGATGTACCACCAAATGTAAGTATGGTATACATTAGCTAGGGAATCAGTAATGTATATAATTGAAGATTATGGAATCTTCTAAATATATAATCAAATCAAGCAAATTATGATTTTACAGTTAATAATAATTGTTGGACTACTAATTACAAATTATACTTACTTTATCATACTTTTAGACTCATCGTGTTCAGAAATGTCTTCAGAAATTACTAAGATCACTCCACAAAGACAGAGCTCACGCCATTAGCCACTACCGTCATCTTTTGGCTAACAGCATAGAAGCTGCCGCACGAGAACAACCAAGAACACTTGAACGTTTAACGGATATTGATAGAACCGTTAATCAAAGTATGCAGATGTTACAGAGGTATGTTACGTTCTATAATGTATAAATACAACTGTATAACAAGATTCACATATATCCTTTAAAAAACATGCTAGTAAAATAGTAGGAATTTAACAGTTACTTTTAAAGTATGTATGAATTCTCATTATGTTTTGTAAGGATAACATGATGAGAATTTATTTTAACCAAGTAGGTAAATATAAAATAAAATTATTTTAATTTTGTTACATTAGTTATGTCATTACATTAGTCAGATTACATTAGTTTTATCATAAGGTAGGTCTATTTTAGAAAGGAGAAGTTTAAATAAAGCATATTTTTGAGATCATCTCGTCATTCAGAAATAGATACACATTTTTAGATTTGTTTGTATTAAATATACCGTTAGTAATAAACCTGTTATTATTTATAAAATTAAAAGGCCTTTTAGAGGCAAGCCTGCAGCTCGAATAAAATTGATATTTTGTCATTTTTTTTTTCAAATATATATTTAATGATACTGAAATTTCTCTTTGAAACTATTTTAGTTGTGAAAAACCAACTTCACAAACATATATGAAGTTGGTTTTTCGCAAAGAAAACTTATTCTATGGCCAGCCATGCATTGTTTGGAATGTTTCTCTGCCTGACCTATATACACGTTTAGTTATGTGTCATAAGTGATTGTATATACACCTGAACTACGGTGTCTATCATAATTATTTTTGTTTTTTTATGTTTACTTGATGATTTATGAATTGTTAATTTTTTGAGCTTTATTTCTTCTTGCCTTCAGCGTCTCCTGTGAAAGTTGCTGATCAACATGGCTATTTGTACTTTCAAAACTGCTGCACGTAATAATTTGACCAATGTCATTCCAAATCATTCACGTTTCGCAGCCAAAAAATTCAAGGTTTTACAGCCAAGGTTTTGTGCCCGTAAAGACGTGGCCAAGGAACTATTTTTTTTTTTTTCTTTATAGTAAATATAATGCCAGGCTCAAGAACCTCGTCTTCTCTGATGGCTCTATCTCTCAATATATGCCGTACATTTTCTTATCAAACAACTGAAGGTCTTCCCCTTCTTCTTCATTGTTGTGGTATGTAATTTAAAGCTTTCTTTGGCCATCTATCTTCATTCATTCACTTCACGTGACCATACCACACTAGTTGTCTCGTTTCAATTTTGTCTACACTGGAATATACATTATTTATCCTCCTTTTCTAAAAATCCATTTCTACTACTTCTATTCTTTTCTATCTTTTTTCGTCATCTGCCAAACTTCTGCCCCATAAGTCATAATAGGCTCTAGCAAGGTTCGATAGATTATCAATTTCGTTTCTTGTCTAATATGTTTAGACCATAGTAGAGAGTTTAGAATGTTTACCGTTTTTTCCCTGCTGGTTTTCGATGTCTCTTTTGGTAGTGCCTTCTTTAGATATTATATTTTGTTTTATATTTGTGTATTTATTTATATATGCAATTAAATACTTTTTTTCTTGGTATGGACATTACCATCTCGGCAATTTACCGTTAAACATAGTTTTTATAATATCTTAATTATATGATTCGTCAGATGCCTGTATAATTTGATCAAACGAAGAGAATTAATCACAATATTTATCTTTTAGATACCCTGATTTGGCAGCCAAAATTGGACAACTCATGGACGATTACATCCAGGCTTTAAGATCAAAAGATGAAACTCCTGGTTCTCTATTGGCTATGACATCTGATGCTGAACAGGCTATTTTGGATAAATACAAGTCTGAAGTTGCAACTAAACAAGCCGAACGAGAACGCCAAAGAATCCAAGAAAAGGAAAGAAAAGAACAAAGGAAGAAGGAAAAATCAGAACTTAAAGAAGAAAAGAAGCGAGTTGAAGAAGCTTTGGGCAAGAAAATAAGCAACTTTGATGACGAGGATATGGAAGATGAATCGTTGCCTGAGGAGAAATCATCCGTAAGTATAAAAGATTTTATTACTCTATGCTATATTCTATCAAAACAAAACGCCCCGCAATAATTGTTATTTTTTATCAAAATTTTTAGACCACATCTCTACCTACGTCTGGAATTACTTTCTCTGAAATAATGAGCAACTCAATAACAGCAACTTCTGAGAACCACAATGTTGACGACGCTGCAGTGCAGGAAGCTGTTGAACAAGTCGCTAAAGCTGCCAGTCACAGACAAGACATCATAAGAGTAGCACATGTAATGAGCCACGATCTCAGTCACGGTGAACCTGTAAGTATAAAATATTTGTTTAATATTTACCGAATTATGAACACATTATGGTTAGAATTGCCGAGTATTAAGGTCAATTAGACGTTATGTGTTATAGTTTAAAAACATGTTCATTGTGAAGTATTGTTTGGGAAATACCGAGTCCGATTTTTAGGATAACAAACTCAGACTATCCAATCATTTGAAACATTGGTGAACTTAAGAATGAACAGTGTAATTACTCGTATTTCAGCAATGGAAAAATATCTTGGTGCTAATCTAGACAAAATATAATGTATAATATCAAAAATCAATGTTGTAAGCATGAGTAATATAAACATAATGAAATAGTATCATAAGCTCATTATAGAGATGAAAATTAATCGTCAAAACTGAAGTACACAGAATAGTACGGCCAAAAGACAAACTAAATTCATTGCAAATATTGTCATTGCGAAAGTAAAAAATACAAATATTACAAGACGTACAGCAATATACATCAGAAATTATAATCAAAAATCAGTGCTGTCCTATATCGAAGAATGGCGATTATTCTTAAAAATATATTTCTTTCAACCGCTGTTTTAAAAACTGTTTGTACGTCCATAACTCTCCATTGTCGTGTATTATTAACCCTTTTTATCTTTCTACACCGTCATCATCATCATCAATCAGCCAATCGCGTCCACTGCTGGATATAGGCCTCCCTCAGTTCTTTCCAGTGTTCTCTACACTGGGCCGCTTGTAGCCAGTTTCCCGCTACACGTTTAATGTCATCGGTCCATCTAGTCGGTGGTCGTCCTCGGCTTCTTTTATAATTTCTGGGCCTCCATTCCATAATACGTCTTGTCCACCGTCCATCTTGTGTTCTGGCTAAGTGCCCTGCCCAGTTCCACTTAAGCGTCGTGGTTCTTTCGATGACGTCTTGAACTCCTGATCTTCGCCTGATTTGTTGGTTTGTTATGTGGTCTCGAAGGCTCACGTTCAGCATTGCACGTTCCATGGCTCGTTGTGTAACTCTAAGTTTATTCGCAGATTTTTGCGTGAGTGTTAAAGTCTCTGCTCCATAAGTTTGTACAGGTAAAACACATTGGTTATAAACCTTTCGCTTGAGACACATGGGAATTGAACTTTTTAGAATATGGCTTAATTTGCCAAATGCTGCCCATGTTAGACCTATTCGCCTCTGTATTTCATGTGTTTGATTGTCTCTGCTTATTTTGATTTCGTGTCCCAGATATTTGTAAGTGTCTGTTTGTTGTATGGTATTATTGTCAATAGTTATATTTCCACTCATATCGAGATTTGTTATAATTTTAGTTTTCTCAAAGTTTATCTTTAATCCTGCTCTTTCAGACAGACTTTTAAGCGAATGCATCATAGAAACTGTATCATGTAAGTTATCTGCGATTAATACAACATCATCTGCAAACCTTAGGTGATTTAATCTTTCTCCATCTATATTGATGCCCATATCTTGCCATTGAGTACCCTTAAATATTGACTCTAGAGCTGCCGTGAACAACTTTGGTGAAATATTGTCTCCTTGTCTAACTCCTCGACCTAAGCTGAATTTTTTCTGTGTCTTCGTGCAGTCGTATACTTGATGTAGCGTTCTGATAGATGTTTTTGATTAGTGTCGTGTACCTGTAATCTATTCGGCTTTGATTTAGGGCTTCCAGTATTGTTTCAAACTCTACAGAATCAAAAGCCTTCTCGTAATCGACAAATGCAAGAACCAGTGGTATGTTGTACTCGATGCACTTTTCTATTAAGATCTTTATGGTATGCAAATGGTCATTTGTGCCATATCCTGCCCTAAAGCCTGCCTGTTCTTTGGGCTGATAGAAATCAAGTTTAGGTGTTAGCCTCTTTGTTAAGATTTTCATAAAGAGTTTGTACATATGTGTCAAGAGGCTGATGGGTCTATAATTTTCTAATTTAGTATTATCGCCTTTTTTGTGTAACAAGACTATTACTGCATTGTTCCAGTCTTTTGGAATCGTACCCGCATGTAAGCATTTAGTAAACAGTTCGCTTACTGATTTTAATAAAATTTCTCCACCTGCTTTTATTGCCTCGATAACGAGTCCATCATCACCAGGCGATCGATGGTTCTTCATTTCCTTTAAAGCTGCTCTTACTTCTGACACAGTAATGGGTAAAAGTATTTCCGATCCCTGATTTATGAGAGTCTTTACTTGTGTCGGGAAATTGTCTTGTGGTCTTTGGCTGGTATAGAGGTCTTTATAAAATTCTCTAGTTATTTTCAGAATGTTTTGTTTATCTGTTGTTGCCTTTTCGTCTTTATCTCTCAGCTTGTATATTTCTTTTTTACTTTGCGTAAGTTTTCTTTTCATTATCTTTAAACCTTTGTTCTCTTCTACTGTTTGAGTAATTACATTAGTATTATATCTTCTTATATCTTTTCTAATTTCCGCTGAAATTCTTTTATTTAGTTTTTTATATTCTTCTTTGTTTCCCTTTTCGTTATCGCTTAGGTTTCGTCGTAATTCCATGAGAGCCCTTGTATCTTTGCTAATCTTTGCACTTTTGGTGTTGGACTTTCTACACCGTACTCCGTTTCAAATTCACGTCCATAACCGTTTTTTTTTTCAAATTCACCCTTAGTCTGTATTCAGCAGACAATGAATGCTATCCGTAGACAGCATTCATTAAGTCGTTGTATTACGTTCTGTAAATCATTGTTTTTATTCGTCATTATTACTGTATCGTCTGAAAAATGCAAGTTATTCAAAACTTCTTCATTGATAGATATGCCTTCTATTGGGGCTCACGGTAGACATTGAAGAGTAGTAGTGACAGCACCCAACCCTGGCGGGCTCCTCTCTGTATTTTGATATCTCGGGTATTCTGTTTGTTAACTCTTACCTTGGTAGTTTGATTTCAATATAGATTAGATATAATTTTCTACAAAGCTTTTTATGTTTAATCTTATCAAATTCCTTTTTAAAAAACTACAAAACTATATGCAAGTACATGTCCTGATTCATATCCATACATCTCTGTGCCAGTACATTCAAGCCGAACAAAGCATCTCTTCAAGAGTTTTAACAATTCTACTGTGTATTATTTTCAAAAATGTTTTAAGTGTGTTACGTTGTCTTAAAACATAAGGGTTTTTGGGTTTCCGTATAGTCAACTTTTTGTCCTTGGGACAGAATCCTTGACCCCCCCCCAGAATCCTTGGGACAGATTGATAAATCAGTGTGAGATTTTGGACGCATCCTACTCACCTGGGATAAATCTGTATTTGTTTTAAAATCTTACATCGCGGTTTTAAGGTGTATATTGGCATTAAAACATAGAGTACATTAGTAACCTTTATCTTTTTATTATTTAATCAAATTTCTTTTATATAAATCGTTAGCATATTTAATATATCCATTATAACATATATGTTTTATTCTTTTAGACATATTCTGTACGACGAGAAATCTTTGCTCGCAAAGACGGCAAGAGCGTGTACTTCACATTGGCGTTCGCAGGAATGGCATTAATGGCAGCCTTAGTCGTAGGAGTTGCGGTAGCTAGGCGCAAAACAGCTAGATCTCCCCAAAGCCAAGGATTTGTCGAGGTAGATCAAGCAGCTACACCAGAAGAAAGACATGTAGCCAACATGCAAATCAACGGTTACGAAAATCCAACTTACAAGTATTTTGAAGTTAAAGAGTAAATTGGTGTGTTAATTTCGATCTTTCGGAGCGTAATTTTTGCCTGGCAGCACATTTTAGGTATTATTTTTTAAAATGGCAATGTTGCTTCTCAGTAAGTAAATACATACTCAAGTTTCTGCTTTTGTTCACAACTAAAAATGTTTCTAAGGAAAATGATTGCAGTATTATTTGATATTAACTTTGATATTTTTTCTTTGTAAATAATTTGGCAGAATTGTAGTTTGTCAGTACGCGTTACTTGCTGGGAGTCACCATTGCACCTTTGTTAAGTTTGATATTATTTTGATGCTACTGGGAATCTAATCATTCCATTAATTGTGTGTTACTTGTACTTAAATAAGCAACTCGATAATAATTCTACATATGCAAAATGAGATATACATATTTTGAACAAAAAAAAATTATGAAAACTTAATAGGAAGTAATAATTTTTGCATATGACAGTCCAATGTTTAAACGTATTCATTTATATAGCGAAATATATCGGGACGATGCCCTACCAAACTAACGCGATACTAGGTAGACATTGAACAGGTGTATCGTCCGCGATATTTATATTAGTTGCTAGATGTATATGGTACCCTCCATATTTAATACCTAATGAAAAATTAGATTATAAAAAATGCATGTTAATCGACAAGCTTTTGTACAGTCGTTTTATTTTTGTTATTGAATTTATCAGCTTTATTCACTAATTATAATTTTCTTACTGAGCTCACGAATATCACTGTCATAGCCATATTTAGCCCTAAACATTGTTCAACATTAAGTGCCATAATGACATATTTTTGCAAAATAGTTCAATCTAAATCTTATACTTTTTACACTTAAATATTATTTAACAACTTGAAAGATCATAAAAATATATTTATTCACAACTAATACTTGCAATAAACCTAACCTAAAATAAACTAAACAATTTTTAATTGACACAAAACATTCTTCCATATTCTGATAAAACCATTCCCTTCTGTAACTCAAAGCAATAAAATGATATTATAATTTTAAATAGTAACTAGGTACATTGGCACTAATATTCTTGAGTCTCATTAACAGATGAGGTCAATGGCCGTCTATATGTAGCACAATATTAAGTCACACCTTCCGAGGATAGAAGTTAGGGACAGATATGTTTAAAGATAAAGAGTAGATAGGGATGTATTCTGAAATCATGGAGAATGATAAGTGGTAATTTCTGGGAGGTTGTATCGGCGGCAGTGGATGAGTACAAGTATTGCTATTTTCGTTAGTTACGGAATATTCTTTTCTTTCTCTATCTTATTCAAGCAAGAGAAAATAAATGGTAAAACACAGTATTAGAGAAGTATATAGTAGATAACAGTTTACAATTATTTGGAAATGTGAGATAACCTAATAAGAAAAATAAAACTTCAGTATCGTTCCGATTTTACCTGGGAAACAAATGTCAAAATAAGCAAGACAATGATATAGCATTTTTTGCGCTGGAAACGGTCTAATATTATTCTGTCCTATACTGATTCTAATGTCCTTTAATGACCTAATAATTCCGACGTTTTATTATACAAGCTAGAGCTAAATGATGTTTTGATCACTGCTAACATATATGTCTGGCATCACTTTATTAAGAGAAGCCAAGTGGTAGTTAGAAACTCAATTGACTGGTTTATACTTTAGAATGTTTAATAAACTGTAAATTTTTGGTATATTGAAGGCAGGCTAGGTCATATCAAAACAAAGTATTTCTAGGATAACTGTAGACCATGCAAAACAGATCAATTTATTGTTTGTTTATTTTGATATTACTGAAAACGGTTTCTCATCGAAAAGGTCGAAAGGACCACAAATATTGTAAAACTTTTATTGTTGACGCTATCAAGTACCGAGTGAACATCATTTTAGCGCCGTAATTGGGGATGCTAAATTATCAGAATTGTGAAAAAAATTACGATTGCTGAACTTAAAAATCTTAGAAACATCGGAAGGAACGATCAAATGTATGTATTTAAAATTCCTAATAGACCGGAAAGGTTTATTTACAATTTGATTGGATATTGTCGAATATTGCAAAAAAACTACAAATGTGATAGGTAGCTTTCAAATAACCGTAACCTTATAAATAAATACTAAGACCAAAGTTGTAGTACATTGGCTTTTAAAATTATAAACCCTTTTTCACTTGGTAGTTGCTGATTAATGCCGCAAGGTATTTGCAAAGAAAGAGCGTGCTAGTTTCTTTATTGCTAGGTTTGAAGAGGGTTTATAGTTGTAAAAAAATTAAAACTAAAAAAAGCCAAAAAATGTCTTTACCGTCACTACAGCTTCATGATTTTATCTATGGGTATGAAAATATAATACATATAAAAAAAGTAAATGCATACATATACTAAATAAAGAAATATAGTAACTAAATAAGCAATTCAGGTAGCAAAACTGCTTTAAATGATGCTTTTAAACTAAAGGTGCATTATTCGGCTCACCAAAGTGATATACACATCTATTAAATAATTAGGAACACGTTTTCCTGGACTTGATTAACTTATATTTTGTATAAACTGTTTCAAACAAAACCTCAGTATCTCAGATTTGTCCAGACTTGACGAGAATTATTTTCTGATACCATACACTAAATCAATAAATTTGGTAAACAAAGGGAAATTAAACTAAACATTTAGTAAGATAGATAGCAGACTAACAGCATTTTAAAATTACAAAAAAAACTAGGACTACCAACAACTGTCAAAAAACTGTTTACCAACCCAAAATAGAGAACACTAAAGAACCTTGAGATAAACTGTATTTCCAAGTTTGAGCTAGTTGAATAATGAATGAAATTATTAAGTAACAAGATTTTGTATGGTAATATTATAATGTCGGAATTCTTTGTTGATATTAAAAACAAGGCTAATATATTTGAATCCTTGAGATATATACTGATACCTCCGTAGATGTTGAAGGGATTCAAAAGTAGTAACAAGTATAATATTCAAACCACGTGGTTGTCGGTTTGAAATATAAATGTTCAAGTTAATGAAAATAGCAATACTGTATGTATATTTAAGGTTGATTGCAATAATCATATTATATTTAGTTATGAGTCGATGTGTTATGTTTTACTCTAACCATTTGTAGATAAGACACCCATTCACATTATTAAAGCTTTTTACCCTCTAAGAGAAAATAAGATCACAGTATTCTATGTGTTTTGATGACAACATTTGAAAGATGCACATAATTATGTACTGTATATTTGTAAGTGTTAAAAAGCGTGTTTTAAGTCTAAGCACTGTGTGTGTGTGTGACTCGGAACTAGTGCTTAAAACATAAAGGAAATGACTTTAAATGTCTGAAAGTATAAGCACTAAATCTGCTACGATTCCAGAACAGTATAAATACTCATTGAAGACATACAAAAGTTGCCAAGCTAAAAACTAAGTGTTGATCACTAAAAAACTTTATTTACAACCTACGTAATTTATTACCCTACTTGTGTCTAAATGATCATCCTTTGTGAATGATAACTGTTACATATAAATGCTGACCACTGAACACACTCCAAATTCACTACGTTTACACAGTAATTAAAATTAACTTTAAAATGATTAATTCGTATTACAGATAAAAATTTGTGTTTACTGAATATTCTTCAATAAATCGCTGATAAGATACAATGTATTATCGAACTATACCAGTATTTGCTAAGGATCTTCAATTACAAACCAACAATTCAGCGGTAACAGTTATTTAGGAATCCAGAAAACTGGTGTCATTTGTTTAAAAATATCTGAAGATAAGTTGCTTTAACCCAGGGATTAGGAACATGCAATGTGAGAAGATTGATTATAAACAGCATTGGTTGATTCTCAAAAATTAATCTCAAGAACTGAAACATGTTCAGAAGAGTAAGGAAAGTTAATTCAGTAGTAAAAGACTGTAACTACAAGTAATATGGTTTAAACATGAGATTCAAGTCAGTTTTGTTGATTGATGTTAAACCAGTTATAGTAGGTATTTGTACTGAAAATTGGAATCCAAGTGTTGTAAAGGATTTTTTCTTGGTGGGTAAGTCATCAGTGTTTAAAGGAGCTTTTCAATTGATAGCTTGAATCGATAAAGTACCTTTCTCTTTGTGTTTGCCACTGTTTAAAATCACTATCAGAAAGCTAGGTTATACAAAAAGCGTGTTTGATGTGCATATTTAGTATTTTCCCAACAATTTTCATAAGAAAAAAATTGTAAAATATTTTTACCCAATATCATATGTAACTAACTGAATTTCCTATTATTCTCTTTTTTGAATAAAATGCTGTGTTATTTCTATTAGTACCTTTATCTACCTAATCTTGATAGATTAGTTCATTTAGGATAGTTATTATATGTTTTGTGGCCATGTAATTTTAAATTTAATGTAATAAAAACTAACTTATTATTTTATTGTGTCTTTTAACTCCTTTTGCCAATTATTATAAGTAATACCTGAGGTAAACATCTACGAAAATGAAAATCAGATTTGAATGAAGAACAAGCATAAAATTGAATATCCATATATTCCCTCAGCAATAAAACCGGTTATTCATGGAGAAAATTTACCAGATCCAGAACTCCCGGCAAATTGGGAGAAAGATTTGAAAACGTAAGACGATAAAAGTGAACCCGATGATGTATAAGAAATAGACGATTCTTATTTTTCCGAAAGCGGTGATAAAGCAGAATGCTAGTGTGAAAAGAGACAGAATGCTGGACGACCTTTGTAATCTAGGTATACCTAAGAAATACATCAGCCTCATAAAAATGACGTTGCAGGGTTCAAAAGCCGCAGTCAGAGTAGATGGAGAACTGACTCCCCTGTTTAACATCAACATGAGAGTAAGACAGGGAGATGCCCTATCAACCATGCTATTCAACCTAGTTCTTTAGGCAGTCATCAGAAAAACCAATATAACCGGCCATATAAACACCAAATCAGTACAAATTACTGCAGATGCAGACGATGTAGCCATCATTAGTAGGAATAAGCCACGACTAATGGAAGTGTTTAAACAAATTGATCCTGAAGCAAGATAAAGAGGTCTCAAAATAAACGAAGCAAAAACGAAGTATATGACAGTCAAAAGAATAACTGACAATGAAAATAATATCACAATAGACAACTATACTATCGAATGAGTGGATTCCTTTACATATCTCGGCACAGAAATCAATCAGAAGAACTCCGTAAGTAGCGAAATTAATGAACGTATTTCCAGCGGGAATCGTACATACTATGCTAATAAAAGATTGATGACATCGAAATTATTAGACAAAAGAACCAAAATGACTATCTAAAGAACACTGATTAGACCCGTAGTAACCTATGGATGTGAAACTTGGGTAATGACGAAAAAAGATGAAGCCCAACTCAGGACATTCGAGAGAAAAATACTAAGGAAAGTATATGGCCCGGTACAAGAGGAAGATGGCACATGGATAATCAGGAGAAGCGACGAGGTTAATGAGTTAAATGAAGGTTATGACATTGTTAGATTTGTGAAAAGTCAAAGACTGTCATGGCTGGGACATGTGCAGAGACAAAACGATGCAAGAACAACAAATAAAATGTTACAATGGAAGCCCATAGGAAGGCCCAGAACGAGATGTTTGGATGACGTGGAAGACGACCTGAAAACAATGAACATAAGACAATGGAGAAGAAGGGCACAAGAGAGATCTGAATGGAAGGCAAAGACCCATCCAGGGTTATGATGCCAAAAGAAGAAGAAGAAGGTGATAAAGCACCCCATTTCATCCAACAAACTGCATTAAATGATTTAGTTCGAGACCTCCACTTGTCCAAAGAACATGCTGAACTTTTAAGGTTCTCGATTACAACAATGGAATTTACTAGCCAGTGGACCAAAGTTACATTATTTAGGAATCGTAACCAGGAGCTATCCTCGTTTTTTACTATGCCAGATAAAATGTGTGTTTGTGTTAATCCAAATAGCGTTATGGAAAAATTAGGATTTAGACATAACCCAGAAGAATGGCATTTGTTTATACATTCCTCTAAATCAAGTCTAAAAGACCACCTATTAGTTTTGCGCATGTAGTTGACATGAAAGAAACACACGAAAGTATGTCGCTGATCCTAAATGCAGTAAGCTATGATACATATAAGTGGCAAATATGTGGTGATAAGAGTCATCGGATTATTAGTAGGTCTTCAGGGAGGATTTGCAAAATGTTGCTGTTTTCTTTGTTTTTGGGACAGTAGAGCAACAAAGAGCCAATACTGTTAAAGAATGGTCACCAAGAAATCAGGACATTTCAGGTCAAGCTAACGTAAAGAATATACCTCTTGCTGATCCCAAAAACGTTCTGTTTCGTCCGTTACGTATTAAACTGAGATTGATTACAAATTTCGTTAAAGCATTAGATAAAGAAGGAGATGCGTTTAAATACCTTAAACACATTTTTCCTAAGCTAAGTGAAGAAGGGATATTTATTGGACCACAAATCAGAAAAATACTGAGGGATCAACAGTACTGAAAATTTGGGTGCAGTCAGCGACGAGCAAAGAGAAAGGTTCCGCCAACATATTCTTACAATGGAGCAATGCTACCAGGAAAGATGGGATGCAGCAATGATGGGAGATTACTGTTGGTTCCTCATGAAAGAAAGTGATACAGAGTATAAAAGGAAATCAGCGTTTGCAAAGAATTTGTGTACAAAAGACTTACCATAGTTTTCGTTTCTAGTTCTGGACTTTCTATAATACATAACATTATTTGATGCATTCTATAACCCAAAATATATACATGGTGAGAAATTTTGGTTTTTGAATTCGCAATCAGGATGCTTTAAACCCCCGGTAGAGCCATTTTAACATCAGTCGCAACTCTTTTTTTAATTTGTTGACTAGTTTTATTAATGTAGGAAGTGAATTATGAAACGCGAAATGTTTTACTTACGGTTCCGATAAAACTAGAAAAATACATCTTAAACTATAACAGCTAAATAAGGCTTCTTAGAAATGAGCTGGCGTGAAGCTCTGGTGTCCGAGTGGTAAACTAAATGGATTTGAAATGAGACCTCTATTTGCAAAACAACCAATCTCCGCCCTGGCAAAATTGCCGTAAATCCAATTTTTTTACCGTGAATATATTTGTAAAACCTGGAGTCACAAAATTCGTTATCCATAAACTTTGATCGCTCAAAATTAGTTTTTCGTTACTAGTTTCTTGGTTGTTATTAAAATTATCTTATAATTAAAGAAAAATATTTGGAGATTGTCTATTTTGTAACTAACAAGTGGATATTGGCTATTTTGAAATAAACAGACCAGGAGATTGGTTTTTTGTATTAAAAACACAAATGTTTAATAAAAGTACTTAATGAATTAAAATAATTATTGATACCAAAATTCTATACTCTTAAGACTTCTTCGTCGTTATCATTATCGAGTGGTTCGCAATAAATGTCGTCTTCTTCAGACACGCTTGGAAAATTTTCGACACATGAAAAACATGACGACTGATGAAAAGTTATATGCAGAATATGAGACTGAACGCGACAGCGGAATACGTTTTGTGCAACTAAACAGAGTTGGATAGAATAAGAATCAGTATGTTTGAACGAGTTTGAGCATTATTAAGTCGAGCCCTACGGGTGTCACCTAAGGCCATAATAGACTGTGTTACAAATGCTGGGCTCAAAGGACAACTTTAACCTAGAAATGAGCTATATACATATACATATTTTGACTAAGCCACAGAATAATAAACAACTGTTATTTATTATGTGACTAAGATTTGCAATTCACGTCCGTTCCCCCAGTGCGACAGAGAAAACCGACGCAAAGCAGTTCCTGCATCTCTTATCTCTGTAGTATAATTTATTGTTGTGACACTGTGCTTAATGTTGCGACAGTTGTCAGTATTTAAATAATTGTTTTGTGATTCTAACGTCACAGAATTAATAACAATAATTGTTTATTATTCTGTGCTAACGTTAAGTTGTATGCAAATAAATGTCTAATTCTGCAAAAAGGTATTTTACTACAATCTCTTTCTAAAAATCTCATAATTGACCGGATTTATCGACCACGTGTCGTAAATGACCAATGGGAAGTATTTAGCATCAACTATGAAAAAATGAAATTTTTACATTTGAAAATATTACACAAACAAAAAAAAAATCATAATAAACAATAAAAAAAAATAATTTTCTAATAATCGACAATAGGTTTCATTACAGTTCAGTAGCCTCGGTATTATAAGCGTCCAGCAATTACAGCTAGTCCAACGTCCAGCTTTATTTTAATTTGCGCTAGACATCTTTCCCGCATTAGATATAAGATTTTATTTCATAACTGGCTTATTTCGCAGTCTACGCCTCTGAGACCTTGATACTCCGGTAGTTGGAAACTTAAACAGTGCAGGTAAAAAATACATACATAACCTGAAAGTCAAACGTCAGACGTCAGTCAACAGTCAAGTCAACTCAAATTGTTTAAAAACATTGTTATCAGGTGCAGAAATTTGAATATTTTAACCGAATATATTTGGTTTCAAATTGGTATTTATATATTTAGTAGAAAGGAAAGACAAACTGCTGTAGTTCATAATGTTAAATACAATTTTAAAACAATTACAATTACTCAAAGATCAAGAATTGTATTCAAATATGTGTAAAGTTGTAAGTATTCCAGCACTATATATAATTTTACATTATGTATTAATAAAATATAAATTTTAGTGCGAATTAGCCTTAACTTTAGCAGATCAAAAACCTGATATTTTCCACCTACCTGTTAAATTACAAATAACTGTTTATTATGCTGATGCATGTTTTCACACTCAAAAATATGTCCAAGCAGAAGCATTATACAGACAAGGACTTCAAATGAGAAAAAACTATGTAATGAAGTCCAAAAATGCCAGCAATAAATTAGATAATCAAACTGCTGTTTTAAGTGATACTGATATAAAGTACCAAATTTATTTATGCTGCATGGCCCTAAAACAAAAGAATGCTGCTTGTGAAATATTGCAGGTAATTATTATGTTTATTATACTACTACCAATATTTTTTTTATTTTTATAGAATTGGTTTTCCATACTTTCTTAAGTCCATCAATTAATATTTCTGTTCTGTTTTATTAGATAGGGGCACAAGTCCAGGACTGATGCCATTTTCAAACAGACTTTAATCTTTTTGCCCTTTTCACAGAAAACTTAAAAATAAACTTAAAATAAAAAACCTAAACTTAAAAATAATGTTAAATCTTATAATTTTTCATAAAACTCTCGGTATTCAGGTTTCAGGTACTAGCACGTATCCGGTAGATTTTTGTGTTTTTCTTCTTTTATTTTTATAGGATGGTAACGCATCAATTTGATAGTTGAATGCTCTGATGACGTATGCACCCCATTTTTTATTCACAAGTGATAATATTTGCCAGGGTTGCATGAAGTTGTGGGAAGTTCTAGCCATTATTCTCGTAGGATCACCGCTGTCGAATTGGAACCAACGGTACTTAGTGATTTTACATTTGGGATCTTTCCATAAGTAGTTCTCACATGCTGAAAAGTATTTGAAATCTTTTACTCCATATAGTACACATTGAAGGACTGCTGGGACGTGAGTTGGCAATCACTACCACTCAGTCGAAGGATACATTCACCACTGTTCTTTTTTTCTTTCTCTCTATGAGCGAGAAGTCACTGTCACAAGGTAAGAAGCTGTGACCGCTAGGTAAGAACTTTTGTTCTCCTTGAGTGAAATGTCTATTCACAATCAGCAAACGGGACATGGACAGCATTCTATAGTTATTATTCTGGCCGACGCATCGGTTAGACCAGACAATGAGTGTTTTTATTTCTCCTGAGGTCAATGGACGAAAGTTAAGTTTTATGTAACACAGGAAAGCTGACGTGATATCTGTAGAACCACAATTACTAATAGATTCATGCAACATCACAGTGGCATCATTTGAACCTGCAACGTGAATATCGTAGTTGTAAGTGGCATACTGATGTTGGTAAAACACTGATAAATGAGTAAATGTTGGACAGTACAACACTTGCTGAAGATCAGTGAAGAGTACCTACAATGAATTGTGGATTAGCCTTTTCAGCATCCAACTTCAACACTTTGTATCCAGCCTCAGCATGTGTATGATCAAATTCACTGTCAACAAGAATAGCATTTCTTTCAGGACCGTCTGGACTGGAGCAACCACAAGCTTGATATACATTTTATCACAAAACGTACGCGTATCTGAGCGAGAGAGGCCAAAGCGCAGATTAAAGTCTGATTGAAATGAGGCGCTCAGCGCCAAAGTGAACTAACTACCAAAATAACAAAACAGAGAAAATGGCGCTTTAAGATTTTGCACTTCTAACATACTTACTTACTAATTAACAAAGAAAAAATAATTTAACGTTTATTTGATACTTTTTACTAACCAATTGGTATTATAGTTCAAATATAGCTAAATATTATTTATTGATAATAATAAAAGGTCAGCATAATAATCAAAGATCAGCAAAGGTCAGAATAACAATAAGTCAGCAGGTCCGGACAATGTACCCTGCGAAATATTAAAGATCCTATGTAAATCAGACAAACAGTTCCTTGACAATCTAGTTGTACTTTTTAACAACATATATAATAGCGGTAAAATCCCGGAGAACTGGCTACAGTCAACATTTATTACAATCCCGAAGAAACCAAATGCCCAGATTTGTGATGACTACCGGCTCATAAGCTTGATCAATCATGTCACTAAAGCGTTCACTAAGATCATTCACAGAAGAATATATGATAAATGTGAGTCAAATATTGATAGATCGCAGTTTGGTTTTCGGAAAGCACTTGGAACTAGAGAAGCAATTTTCGCTCTCCAGGTGCTTATACAACGGTGTAGAGACGTTGATAAAGACGTGTATCTGTGCTTTGTAGATTTTAGAAAAGCATTTGACAATGTCAATCATGAACAATTGATAGGTATTCTGCGAAAGACAGGTATTGACGACAAGGACATTCGAATTGTGGCAAACCTATACTGGGTCAAACAGCAAGAGCAAAAATTGGCAACGAACTCACTGAAAGCGTGCAGATCAAAAGGGGTGTCCGTCAGGGGTGTATATTATCCCCACTCCTATTCAATATGTATTCCGAGGAAATATTTAACAAATGTATGGAAAATGCAAATGAGGGCATTAAAATAAACGGCTAGTTAACGAACAATATAAGATACGCCGACGACACGGTGATCCTTGCCAGTACCATAGACGAATTACAACAAGTAATGGAAAGACTTTATTCAGTTAGTGAGGAATACGGCCTGAGCCTCAACTTCAAGAAGACAAAGTGGATGCTGATAAGCAAAAAGCAACAACCTGCTCGACAATTACGGATAAGTAACATATTAATTGACCATGTAGAATCTTATGTGTACCTTGGCACCAACGTAAATACAAAATGGGAACAGACCATAGAAATTAAGGCGAGAATAGAACGAGCTAGAGCAGCATTTAGCAATATGAAACAGCTCCTCATAAGCAAGGATTTGTCTCTTCCCCTAAAACTACGTATAGTTAAATGCTACATTTTTCCGATCTTGCTGTATGGCGTGGAGGCCTGGACGCTGACGGAGACGCTAACGAGAAAACTAGAAGCATTCGAAATGTGGGTGTACCGACGCATTCTTCGTATATCCTGGACCGAACATGTCACCAACATAGAGGTACTCCAAAGAATCGGAAAGGAGAAAGAAATCGTGAATACAATTAAACAAAGAAAGCTTGAATATCTAGGCCACATATTGAGACACGATAAGTACCGTCTGCTACAATTGATTGTCCAGGGAAAAATAGACAGTAAGCGAGGGCCAGGCAGGAGAAGACACTCGTGGCTCCAAAATCTGCGGAAGTGGTTCGGGCTCACATCAGTCGAACTATTCAGAAGCGCCGCAAACAAGATCAAAATTGCCATGTTAATAGCCAACGTTCGCAACGGACAGGGCGCTTGAAGAAGAAGAAGAAGAATAATAAAAGGAGCATAGCACACTGTGGCATTTAAAGTTTTGATGACATATGGCTCTTACCATTACTTTCATTGGTAGTTGAGTCGGTATGAACATCATTTATATTAGTATCTTACGTTGCCTTCTTCTTCTACTTCAGATGCAAATCCACTAATGAATGTTAGCGATCACATTTTCCATTAATTCTCTATTTCTTACAATATGTATCACAGATTGTATGTCATTAATCCCTGTCCACTGCCTTATGTTTCGGAGTCAGGACATTTTCTTGCGTCCCATTCCTCTCTTGCCTTCAATTTTACCCTCGATTATAAGTTGGAGAAACTGGTATTTTTCATTTCGCATGATGTGACCTAGATATGCCGTTTTCTACGTTGCTACGTTGCTTAGCTCTTGAAAAACTTCGTAAGACCTTTTATCATTAATAATAATCAAGTTAACTTCATCGTGTGAATTTTGTATGCCTCTGTAGTTATTTACATCTACCTGGTCTACCTCTTTTAAATCTTCAGTAGATCTTTCATCATTGATAATAATCAAGTTACCTTCATTATGTGAATCGTGTATGTTCATGTAGTCTCTTATAAGATCAGTATTCATATGTTCGTCTTCTCTTAAACTAATAAAAGTATCATTAGAAAACAACTTTCGCATTCTCAGTGGTAACAATTTGCTCTTAGTTTAATATTTCATTTATTAATTTTCTTTCATTGTTATTATTGTATATTTTATTATTATCTGCAGATAATCCTGCATGCTCATTATAACCAGTCAAAATAGGCCTACTAAAAGAGTGTTCAAAAGCAAGTAAACTAACAGAAGTTTCTTGGCTGTCTTCAATGTTAGGATTTTCAGAAATTTGATTAATTAATATTTTCTTATTTTTATTAAAGCTGTTATTAGATCCTGGTATTGGTGGTTTATTGATGCTAACTTCGATTTCATCTTATATTGTGTCTAAAAGAATGGATTGGATTAGGCAACTTTAAGACAATTTTCAATGCCATAGTAGCCTAACCACCAAAAAAACCATGCGACAGTTGATAAAATGCCAAAGTAGCATAAGTGCCATAAAGTATAAAAATGTTAAGATACAATGTAAATACCGCTTTTAGAATCGCTAAGTTAATGAAAACTAATGTTAAAGTATATACCTGAGCTTATTACACTTAACTCGCTAAGTAGTTACTCAATTTAATTGTATTAAAGTAAAAAAACTACTCGCATAGGATTGATTCATAACGTGTATGTTAAATATTAATTTTAATTTTGCTGTTGTACATTTATTCAGATTAACAATTTTATATTCATAAGAGAACAATATTTTATAGCCTTGTATAAATCACATAGACTATTTCCCATTATTTACAAGACTATAAAATTTATTTGAAACTATTACATGATTTAAACTAAAAATGTAAATATAATTTAAATTGGGTTGTAATTAATCATGGCTTACCTTTGCTATTATCCTCAGTTTGTAACACATCAGTACACTTCTCTACCATTTTTATTGTTCTTTTACGAAACATTTTCCTTATATTTAACCACCAAAAGTCGCATGTAAAAATCACTTCATCGGCCTATTTAAAAACACAATGTATTTGCCGCTTAAGTCAGTTTGGCATGGAACGTATCAGAGATTGACAGTGGTGCCAAACTAAACAACTGTTGATAAAAAATTCCCCACTACATTTTTGTCTGTTAGACTTCTATGGCATTATAGTATAAGTAATATGGACTCATTTAAGAGTGTATTCAGGAAATCTCCAAATTATCGCTTAGTTCACTTTGGCACTGAGCGCTTCATATGTCAGTGTAAGTGCGCCGAGAAACATTGCATTGCAGATACTTTTCACAGAACAGTTTGCACATTTTTTTTAAGTTTAATTCAGCAGGAAAGCAGTTCTTCGTAGATGCAGCGTGACTATAATGGTTTTCTTGATGAATTGGAAATGACTTTATGTGTTCTCTCATATCTGTTTTTTTTTTGTATCTTCTGCTGAATGTGTGGGATTCTTCAAGGTGTCATTCCAAATGCTTGACATATAGTTTTTTGGCACACTGGTAATTTCTTCAGTCCAATCTGGATGTGGTATTGTACAGTACATTGTCGTCTGGAGATGTCTTCTGGAGTTCGTCTACGTTGTGGCTCTTGAAGCTCCATACAACTGGCCAGGTGTGCAGTTTGTGTATTATAATCAAGCCTTCCCTGTCCAATCCCTTATGTTTTTAAGATATGAGTATTTCTTTCTTCCGATGCCCCGTTTTCCTTTTATCTTTCCTTCCATAATAAGCTTTAAGAACTGGTACTTGGAATTTCGAAATATATGACTCAGATAAGCAGTTTTTCTTCTTTTTATTATTGGAGTCTAATATTAAGTATTAATATAACTAATTCTTAATACTAAAGATGAGTCACTTTTATTATTCTCAGATCGCACCATAATAATCTCAAAAATATGGGAAATCAAAATATGAGAAAATATACAGGGTGTCCTATTTAAAATATTTTGTGTTTGATCTACAACGTAGATATTAATCACTCTGTAGAATTCGGCATATTATCTAAGCCTGGAAAATATCATTGCCTACATTTTTTCTAAATAACTTTTTTGTATATTCTGTACCATAATGGAATTATCGACCAATGTCTCACTAAAAAATCACCCTGTATATAATGATACCAACGATGATCAATAATGTATTTTTATCGACATCATCATCATCTTTGCTTAACAATCATCTGTGGATCCTGGCCTGTTCTAAGATTAATCGCCATTCTCTTCGATTTCTGGCAACATGTTACCATCTTTTCATGTCTAGTATTCCTAAGTCGGTCTCAACTCCATCTAAACACCTAATTCGCGGTCGGCCTCTGCTTCATCTTCCTATAGGCGTCCCTGTTATTAACTTTTTAGCAATCATATTGTCAGACATTCGTATTATGTGTCCAGTCCATCTAAGTTGTTGTCGACATCTTCTTCATTAAAGAGTTGGTATAATTCGAAATTACGCATTATTATTTCGCCACTGCCTTTGATCTTTTATAGCTTCAAATATTTTACGATCTTACGCTCGAATATTCCCAGAAGTCTTTCATCTTTCTGCGTTAGAGTTCATTTTCCGCTCCGTATGTGAGGACCGGCTTCAGCAATGTTTTATATATAACAATTTCAGTTTTCTTTGGATGTTTCTTGAGTAAAATTGTTTTTGGAGTCCCTATAGTATGCCCTGTTATAGGGACTCCATATAGCCAAGGTATGTGAAGCTGTCAACATGTTCAAAGATATGACTTCCAAAGACTGTTTCCCGTTTCTCATTTTATATAGGACCCTTAGTAACCAAAATGTACTTGGTTTTGTCTTTGTTGATGACTAGACCGACCTGTTTTTCCGCCGTTTTCAATTCTATTATGTCAATGTCATGAGCGTTTGCTAAGATTTGTTTTGATCGATTGTAAATAGTACCGCCATCTCTAATTCGTGTATCTCGGACTGCATTTTCCAAGACAATGTTAAATAGGAGGCAAGCCAGAGCATCCCCTTGTCTGAGTTCATCCTTTATCTCAAAAGATCGAGAATTTTCTCCCTTTATCCTAACGCAGGCTTATAAGTTAAAAATTGTCATTCCCATTAATCGGATACGTTTTTTTGGTATATTAAACTCACGCATTGATTGGTGTAGTAATGTTCTCTTCTCAGGGCGTCACTACCATTCTTGTAGAGCTCACTACAAATTTGATCAGTTCCTGGAGATTTATTATTTTTAAGCGTTTTAATGGCTTACGCAACCTCTTCAGTGGTAGGTGGTCTTTTGTTTGGGTTAAACATATTCCAATATCGACATTAACCCGAATCAGTTAGAGAATCACATCCACCAAACTCAAACAAATTAACTTATCAATTAAATACAAGTTTGTACTTGTTATCAACAGACATAACGACTGTAAAATGTAAAACACAATACCAAATAAACAAATTAATTTGACATTTTTACATTTAAGACTTTCTTGTGACAAGGAGCATTCAAAGCTATGTAGATATAGTCTGCATTAATAACTTCTGTGTGTTCCTTTAAATTTTCCGGTGTGTGTATTAAATTGTTAACTTCTCATAGCCTACTTTAGGATTCTTTATTAAACTAAGCAGAAAATGAGGATTTATTGATGAAAAACATGGCTAGTTGTTAACCTACCTAACTTTTTTATTATCAAACACAAGCAAATGAATCAAAAAAGAAAATGTTAAGAAAGCCTGAGGCTATAATTGAGTTTTAATTTGAATATTTTATATATGCTAGAATATTCCATAGGGTGTTCCGAACTTTAAGGAAAAAACACAGTATGATTGTTACACTCTGTATAAAATGACATTCACGTGTTTAGCAACAATATTATTACATCGATATTCTTAAATAATATAACTATAACATACTAAAAAAATCACTAAAATCAGACAACAGGTTTAGGAAATTCGACACATCTAACTGTCCCATTTTTAAGGTGTTACGTTAATTTTGCCGGTGAGTGTAGATTCTCGACAACATAATCTGTGTTAAAATCGCCGCCTTTCCAAGATCGGATATGAAATAATAAAAACATTTTTTTATATACCTACATTTAAAAATATGTCCATTCCATATAGATAGATAGTTAACATAAAAATATTTTGTTTTGCCTTTATATTATTAAATACTTAAATATGAATTTCTATCAAAGAAACCATCAATAAATAAATAATGAATGGTCGTTTTTTTTAATTGAAAAACATTGTATTAATTAATTTTGTAAATAGTTGAATTTCAAGTAATGTTGGGTAGGTACCTATATGTTAATTGTTTGACTTGTGACGGTACTGATCGTACCTACACATAGACAGATTTTTGTAGAGCGGTGGTCTACAGCGTGTACATTACGGCCAAAATATAAAATTCAATGAGATCATTGAATAACTTACAACTTAAATGATTGATATTGTAATCGAGTATACTTAAAATATCGGTGCAATGTTTTACACAATTGTGTTAGTTTTAATCGTAATATTTGTCTCGATTTTACTAGTTTTGTTTTATATTTATGTGTTATTTTTAATTTATATATATTTTGCTCTTCAAATTTTAAGATGATTCTTGCTAGACATCGAACTCCAAAGGTAAATATGGCTCTTGGAAATATTTATAAAGAAGTTGGACAAGAAAGAGCTGCAATAACCTGTTTTAAAGAAGTTCTGAGAGAATGTCCTATGTCACTAGAAGCAGTTGAAAATCTTTTGAAAATGGGAGTTAAGGTAAGTTTTAAAATTGAATCAGTGAAATGTAAAAGGATATCATTCCAAAAACTTTACTTTTGGAAAATTAAAATAAACGTTTTATCTCTTTAAATATTTTTAACAGCATGAATTACTTTTTTGTAGTATGGGGTAAGCAGAAGATATTTATGTAACAATTAGGTTTTATAAGTACACATTTATTGAGTAATTACTATTTTACTTATTGGAATATTATCCTTTTAGAAGTAAAGTAAAAAATCAACGCTATTTTGTTACTACAAACTTATTTATTTACATTTAAATGCTGTTATACAGTTTATTCATCGTCACTTAAATCACTAATAAGACTTTCATCATTCCCTTCCATTGGAATCGATTGGTTCCAACTTAGGATCTGTTCGTAGAAATGTTTATGTTCCTCTGGTATGTAGTGCATAATCTTTCTGATGTCAACGAGTTTGTTAGCTTTCACTGGCAACATGGAGTGATATATTTGATCTGTGGGAAGTTCTACTCTTCCTCCTTTATACAACTTGAAAGTTCTAACCACGAAAGAATCAGTAAATGGACGAGCGTCGACATATCCATATTTCCCACTGGTATACCGGAAGTGCTTGAATTGATTGATGTTAAAATCTTGTGTCTTGTCTTGGCTTTTTGTAGTTTTCTTGAATATTGAAGGCTATTATTGTTTGAAATCAAGAAAATTTGCATGTTCCAATGGTACTACTAGAAATTTTGGAACTTCTATTTTAGCTTCTTGAATGATGTTATTGTATTGTTCTGGTGTAAAAATACGGTCATGTTTACGAATAGCACGTTTTTCTGTGGCAAAGTTGCGATCACTGGGTAAGAAACTGTGACCGCGAGCTGGAAAATAATGGAGAATTGTGTTAAATCTTTCTGTCATTGTTAGTACTAAGAACATTATTAAAATGGTTTGGTTGGGGTTTTGACCACCGCAAGCGTCACTAAAAACATGTAACTTTTTTACTTCAGGGGGTATTTTATCTTTAATCTACTTAGATACCATCGTACAAACCTCGTTAGGCCACTTTTTCCCTCAGCCCTCATGTATATAAAATACTACTTCATTAGTTGTTAGGTTAGAGACACTAAAGAGATACAACTATAGTTTACTCAGGTAAAACATTTCCTGTACAGGTAATGCAGGCAACTGTCATCATCATCATTTTGGCTTTACAACCCTGGGTCCTAGCCTCCCTAATAATTCTCTTCCAGTCGTTTCTATCCATCGCCTTCCTCCGCCAAGCACGTATTTCCATATTTCTCATATCTTGGTCTATGTTATCTAGGAATCTTGTTCATGGTCTTCCTCTTCTTCTTTGACCAATAGGTCTATGAAGGAGCGTTTTTCTAGCTGGGTCGGTTTGCTCCATCCGCATTACATGGCCTACCCACCTCAGACGTCCTATCTTAATGTGTTTTACGATATCTGGTTCCTGGTATATTCTATAGAGTTCGAAGTTGTATCGTCTTCTCCAGACACCATTTTCATTTTCCGCTCCATAGATTCGCCTCAGTATTTTTCTTTCGAAACATCCTAACATGTTTTCATTGCTCTTTGTTAAAGTCCAGGTTTCTGAACCATATGTTAGGACTGGGCGTATTATTGTTTTGTAGAGTTTTACTTTTGTATTTCTTGATATAGCTGTAGATTTAAAAAGGAGATTAAGCCCAAAACAGCATCTATTAGCCGTGCAAATTCTGCGGTTTATCTCTGCGGTAATGTCATTTTCAGTATTGACGAGCGTTCCCAGGTATACAAATTCGTAACTGCTTCGATGACGTCGTTTTCTATAACAAGTGGCCGTCGTATTTGTAGTTGCGGACCTATTTTCATGTATTTCGTTTTATTAATGTTTATTATTAGACCCATTTTTGTAGCCGCTTCCTTTAGTGCCACATACGCCTCTCGTGCTGCGTTTTCCGTTCTCCCAACAATATTGATATCATCAGCATATGCTTGGATTTGCACAAATTTATTATATATTGAACCGGTAGAGTCTGTCCCAAACCCTTTTTTTAGTGCGTCACTAATTTTAACGTCATATAGGATTTTAAGAATGTCGAGAATTATTGCATGACATTTTAGTTAAATCTGACAGTTGCAGGATCGTAATCGGCTAAACGTGAAAAGGTTATTTTTTTTAATGCATAGCAGTTTTTCATAATTCTATTCTATTCTGTTCTATTTTATACATTCCATGGAAAGTGCTTAATTAGCTAAGATTTGTTTATGGATTTATTATTATTTATTACAAACACTAGAGAATTGGAAGGTTTGTTTATTTAAAATAACGCTTCCTCCTAGAATCTTTTAAGAGTTGACTGCAAGGTAAAAAAATTTACTGACAATTGCAAGGCATCAAAGTAAACATTCCTGTGATAAAATAATATCGATTTAAATCAGTCATATTTGGATAAGTAATTTTCTGATAAGTTTGTGTGGCAGCCAATAGTTTAATTTTGTGAAGAGTTGTCATTAAATAGTGGAAATAGTTTAAATTATGAAGCAGTTGATTTTTAAGTTATTCTACCAGATTTGGTGTGCAAATGAAAGAAGGTTATAAAATTTAGTTAAAAAAAAAACAATATAAATAGTTTAAATAGTGAAGCAGTTGATTTTTGAGTTAATCTACCAGTTCCGATATCCAGATGAAATCGTGCTAATGGAGTTTAGTTAAAAAACAAGATACCGAATGTAAGTTTACCTTCTTTTTTATGAATAACAAAAATGAATATTATATTTCAAACAATCTATAATCCCATTCAGAATCTGATTCTTGAAAATCAATGATTACACTAGATATGTGGCTGGTATCAATTATATCCTACATTTCAAGAAAATGTCGTGGTTCTAAAAGGAACCGTTTTAATACATATAAATATCCATAAAGGCATTAGTTTAAGATATTTCCTCAATCTCATTCCGGAATTCACAATCTGATTCGCGAACGACAGAAACTGACAATAAAGATGTCTCAGCCTCTTTTTCTAATTGAAACTAATTTAATAATTTTAATATTAGTCTTTTTTCATTCTCGGTATATCTCGGAATATTTAAAATATTTTTGTGACAATAAATACAAAATTTAATTTTCACTGTAGTTAAAATGTCTGAAAATACTAACCTGGAATGGCAATTATCATTTTATCAGTTGACATTGTGAAAGTACTGTCACTGTCATTATCAAGATCATCTGTGTCAAATAATATTTATATGCATAATTGATTGGATATCTATTTAGCGTATTCTAAACTCCAACCAATTATACGTTCGTAAGTAGAATTCGCTTTAATATGCGAATACCCGTGAACGATACCTAATTTTCTAAGTTCTATGTATAATATTCAGAGACTCACGTTTTTTTTCTGTCACTTCTAGCTTAATGCGTTAGAGAGAATTCGAACAACTATGACGCACTGAAAGAAGGGTTTGGGACGGACTGTAGTTGTGATTTGTGACGTACGTACGTACGTCACAAATGCAGGCAACTGTACATTTTGCATAGAATCAAAACTAATAACTATAATGTCTGTTCTGTTCTTGCACATTTCTGGAACACATTATATTGTAGAGTAAATTTTTTTAGCTCTTCCCGTATGTATAACAATATCAGCCTCAGCTGATAGCTTTGTATTTTGGTTAAGAGAAGATTTCATTTTCACAGAGAGTTCTTCGCAAACTTAACAGACCTCAATTGGAGGCCTGCCGAATTTAAAATTAAAGTTTTCCTTATAGTATTTTAAAAAGACCTCATACTTGACATCATTTGACTAAATTTCAGGATATTTGTCTAAAAACATACCAAAGAATTTTTACTTTTGGGGTTACATCTAAATATAAAATTGTCTTTGATGAATAATTAGATGTTTTCTTTGGGTATGATTCAATATGATCTTGGATTTTTTAACAATATCATTCGATTTCTGGGGCGATTTTCATGTAACCATCTTTTATCATATGGAAGCTCGCCTTTTTTTTTAAGTTAGTAAGACATTGTAATGCTTTATTACTTATTGTATGTAAACTTAAAAATGCCTTTCTACAAACTTCCACTTTTGTGTTGTTTCGTAATGAAAAATACTTAAAAGATGATTGTATTTGTTTAGAGTCTTCATTTTTAGGTCTATGTCTAGTCACATCGGATCTGTTAATAAGGCCCATCAAAATAAGTCTCTGACTCATTCTTAGGTCGAACATTGTATACACGTTTAATAATCCCTGCTTTCTCTTCAGGGGAAAATAATCTCTTTCAATGCATCATACTCTCCATCTTTTTCCCACTTCTTTCTCTTCAACCTAAACTTCAAGTCTGACCCCTATACCTAATGTTTTCCATGCTTCTTTTCGACACCTCTAATTTCAGAGTAGATTATTCGTCATCCCCCTTCTAAACTATTCAGTTCTTATTTTACTTATACACATAACTTCCTCAGGGTTTGGTTTCGGATCTCTGGAGACCTCAGCCTTCTGTAGAGTCATTCCTCTTCTCACAATTTTTAAAACATCACATTTTTCTTTTTTACTTAAATTTAACAGAGCCACCCACAACCATTTTCTTTTTACAGTTCTTGTCAATATACACCAAGTCTATTAACTTTATCTGCCTACCTTATGCTCATGAACTTATCCTTTAATTCTCATGTACCTAGTGTTGCTTTATAACAGATAGGGCCTTTTCTTCTTAAGTTATAAGTTGATTAATGTATGATCATCATATTACAAAACCACGTCTCAACCATCAATTTTTGTTCATCTCATATAGTTGTTAACACACAAGAACAACTAACCAACTTCTTCCTTTAACACCTAATCAGTTATTTATGTTCATGAACTTGTAACTTAAAAAGTTTTATATTTACCATTTACCAAATGTTGTTTTTTAACATACAGGGCCTTCTATGCTTAAGTTATAACTTAAATACTACATGAACATTACATTACAAAAGCACTTTATTTTATTCATTTAATACCACTTTCAAATATAAAA